AATAAAAAAGATAAATAAAAAAAAAAAAATGTCCAGGCCCGCCGGAGAAGACCCGCCCGGCCCGCACCCCATTTACCGCGGGGTCCGCCGGAGAAAATCGAGCGGGAAGTGGGTCTCCGAGATCCGCGAGCCGCGGACCCCAAACCGGATCTGGCTCGGCACCTTCCCCACGCCGGAGATGGCCGCCGCCGCCTACGACGTGGCGGCCCTCGCCCTCAAGGGCCGCGACGCCGACCTCAACTTCCCTGGTTGGGCCCCGTCCCTCCCCGTCCCGGCCTCCAACTCCCCACGAGATATCCAGGCGGCCGCTGCCAGCGCAGCCGCCGCCGCCGGGGCCGCCGGAGACGCACTCCTTGCGGCGGCGCCGCCGCCTCCGCCGCCGTTCGTGGACGAGGATTTGATATTCGACATGCCGAATGTGCTGGTGAACATGGCGGAGGGGATGATGATCAGCCCGCCCAGGCTTGCTCCGGCGGACTCCGACGAGTACTCGGAGAATGTGAACCTCTGGAATTACACATAATCGGAATAAAAAAAAAAAAAATCAGTTTCTTCGTGATACAAATATATATATACACGGATTGTATGTATATGTGTATGTGAATGTGTGTGTTTTGTGTTGGGCCTTTGAGCGATTTATGAAGTCGGAGCATGAGTGAGTTGTACGTTTGGTTTTGTTTGTGTTTTGCTTGTAAATTAAGGAATAATTTTGTTTGGTCTTAGAATTTGTCTCATCTGCACACCTAAAATTGCATTTTTCTTTGGACAATAAACATGTGAACACATCTCAATTTATAAAAGCCAAAAAAAAAAAAGAAAAAAAAACAGGTGATTAATTGTTACCCTAAACTTATTTTAACATCCAAATCAATACATACCTATACAGTGATATGTTGATTGTGATTGTGTGATCGAACGACTAAAATCTGTTTGTCCCGTGTAGGATAGAATAGAAGCTACATGAATATCGATTTTGGTTTTATTATAGGCAAACTAATTTAAGTTGAGAACAAGAAGATTCTCTAGGGCTTTAATGTAATTCCTTTTTCTTTATTTTCCCCTTTTTAGTAAGCTAATAAATAATGCATTATAGAATCTTTCCTCACTTGGAAAGAATTTAGTTTGTTTATTAACTGCTAACAATATAAAATTAGCCTTTTTTTTTTAAATAAGATACTGAGTTCTGATGGCCAAGAAAAGGAAGAGAAGGGAATGAGATGTTAGAGATAATATAAAGGGTTTGGTGAAGTAAAGCTATCGTGTGTGGAGTAGTTTAGTCAACAGATATCATTTAGTCGTTGACTTTTTAGGGCTTTTCTTTTTCTATTTATTTTCTTTACTTTTTTTTTTCTTTTGCTTTGATACACTGTTACATTGACTTTGTGTTATTTTTCAAACTATGAACTGAAGAGCAAAAGGTATAAAAATACGGGGATATTTTTATATTGACTTTGTGTTATTATTTGTGTCTGAGTCATTGATTTAATTCGTGGTTAAGATAATATTTTTATTTTTAGATGGTGCTTCGTGATTAACATTTTTTCGCTATAAAAATTCACTCTGAATTGTAAATAATTTAGGTCTAGAAACTTAAATACAAACGCGTAACACATAAATATCTGTGAATATCTGTAATTCACTTATTCTTATCTTAAATGTTTAGACAGTCATTTACACTTTTAATAAATAGATATATTTTTATATCCAAATATCACATTTTAAGTACTAACATAAATAAAAGTATGTTATTTATATAAATATGTATTTTTTTTAAAAATTTTTGGTCAAGTGCGTCAGTCTATGATAATGTAGCTAGAATATTCATCCATGCATGCATCAATTATATGAAATCCACATTCGTAATGTATTCCAGTAATACTGGTTTTAGGCAAATCAAACTATATATTAAAAGTCAATTTTTTCAAATAACATTAATATTTTCAAATTGAAATGTCATAATTTAAAAATTAATTAAACAAAATTAGACATTTATTACATAATTATTAATAAAAATATGATAAATCGACTCGGCTAAATATCAAATTGCGTACCCAAGAATTTGTAAATTTATATTATAGAAATAACAGTAATTTAGTAGTGTGAAACTACAGTGATATTACTACGTCATCTACAGTTTTTACCCGAATCTGTTACTGTCAAATGAGTTGGCTAGGTAATTTTTTTTAGTAAATTATATGTGTCAAGGCCTTTGTAAAATATACTCCCTAAAAAAACGCGTGAAATAAAGTTTTTTCTTTTAAATGGGACATGTGTCCCATTTCTCTTCGATAATGAATTTTATATATCATATTATATAAATTAAATTATCATTCATTTTTTATATTAAAAAATAAAAATAAAAATACCAAAATTCATAATTTTTTATTCTCCACAAATAGAGACCACATTTGATAAGTTTTAGAATACAATTAATTTATCACTTTTCACAATTATTTTATTTTGTTGGAAGATGAAGTCGCAGATCCATAATAAGTTGAACATGTTACTTAGTAAGATGAACATGTTATAGAATAAGATGAACTTGTTACATAGTAAGATGTTATAGAATGATGAACATGTTACATAGTAAGATGAACATGCTACATAATAAGATGAACATGTTATAGAATAAAATGAACATGATACATATTTACACAATAAGATGAACATGTTATAAAATAAGATGAATATGTTACAAAATGAGATGAACATGTTACTTAGTAAGATGAACATGTTATAGAATAAGATGAATATGTTACATAGTAAGATGAGCATGTTATAGAATAAGATGAGCATGTTACATATTTACACAATAAGATGAACATGTTATAAAATAAGATGAATATGTTACAAAATGAGATGAACATGCTATAACATAAGATGAACATGTCCGTAACATGAATTGCAGCGGTTGAGGAAGATGACGGCAGGAACTACGGCAGTCGAGGAAGATGACGGCGGCGAGGCTGGAGGTGGCCGGCGTCCGGCATCTGGCAGTGCGACTTTTTTACGTCGTGTGTAAGTGTGTGTATATGTGTGTGTCTGCGTGTGTGCGTGGGGACAGAGAAAGGGTGTGTTGGTTGTGTGATGTGTCAGCGCTACGTGTCATTAAATCATTGGATGTGGAGTGTGTTAGTTGGCATTGACCCCACATATTCATAATCAAAATGTCCAAAATACCTTTAATGAATAAATAAATGTTGGATTTTTTTAATCCGTTAGATCGTTTGATCCGATGACTCTCATGTATTCTTATTTTTTTCATTTAGCACAATTCTCATGTGAACCCAACCCTTTATATATATTGGCAAAATAAAAAAATGTGAATTGTTGACCGCGCGTCGTTACACGGCAAATTTAAATTTATAATTTATCCTAACTTACCCCTACTAACTAGTAGTAGTGGCGAGCAAGGGTCGATCCCACAGGGAGTGTGGTATAAACAGTGAATTTATTATATTAATTAGCTTATAATAAAAATGGGGGGTTTGATTAGAAACGAAACTACTAACAAAAAAAAAGAAATTAAACTAGAAACTAGAAATAAATGACTAAAATGCAAATGATGATGAAATGGAAAATAAATAAAAATAATCTAGCAAAGATGAGAATGGAATCGGTTCCAGGTCGGTCTACACCCCCGAATAACTAGCCCAATTAATGCATTTATCAAATTTCACTCGTCTTCTAAAATTACCGGTCCTAGATAGCAATAAGCTCTGCTACCCGAATTTTCCCTTAATTCATACTTAATCGAAATAGGCTCTTCAATTAATTCTAACTAGCGAATAACTCGGAATAAGCTCTCCTAATTTAATCCACTAGTCGCATTAAAATCTAGGAAAATAGACCGATCTAAGCCACAAACACATAAGCTCGGTTCATGTAACTTATGTTGTGCTATCCCTAACAATGCACGACTGTTAGTTGCTACAAACGAAATAAGAGCGACGACAATTACGGATCGACGCCTCAAATCTAGCAATTAACATGCAATTCCTAACTTAGGTGATCAAGCTAAATTAAAAATCACACATTATGACATGAAAATAGAATAACACAATCAACTTTATACGACGAGTAAAACAAAATAAATAGCATTAATCAAACATAGTCATCGAGAGTTCAACGTCCCTAGAACCGAAATAAGTATTTAGCTACACATAGCTAAATAATAAAAACAAAAATAATAATTTAACATGTTCTTCAATCAAAATAAGAAAAACAAAAAATAAAATAGCAAACTCCTTTATTGTCCACGGCCGAAGTTAATATCCCGCAAGCATGAATATCTCCCCTTGGTGCCCTCTCTGTTCAAGTCGAGATGCCCTTTTATTATTTGCTAACTCCCTCTTTTTCCTAATGCCACGCAGACCTATCCCCATAAAAATTAAGTCTCCAGCCAAAATCCATTTCCTTTTGCCCAATCATTTAATAAAATGAGTCCAACCAAAATCAAATGCTTATCCTCCAAATTAGAAGTCCAGTAAAGGAGAAATCACAATATCCAGCCACTCTCTTTTTCCAAATGCCTCAAAACTCTCGACCAATGTAACAAAGAGTCATCAACATTTTTTTATTCTTTTCCTTTTAAATCCTTGGCCAAATATATTCAACTCCACATCATCATCTACTCAATTGTCACCTCATTAATGCCACATCACAAATAGGTGTATTAACTGCAAAATAAACACAAAAGCGAATATTGGTGTATGCCCGTTCACAAAATAAATTACGTGAGAAAACTTGTATAATACACTAAAATCAAATACTCAAATATATAACTTAACTCACAAAATAACACAAGATTTCTCACGTATCAATTGTGTGAATTTGTGAGGAATCATTAACGGAATAAATATGTAGTTAAAAATAGATTGTTATTGTCATCTACAATCCTTATCTCTACTCTAGTGTAGAGTTTAATCAACTTTAAAGTAGAGTTAAACAAAAATCAAGTTTCATCTCTGACCGTCCGCTCTACATTATATTCTATATAAAATATATTTTTATTCTCTTTATTTTAAATTATTTTAATATCAAAATATAATTAAGATAGATATATAATTTTACACACATATAATTATTAAATTATCATCATACATTTAATACATAAAATTTTAAATAAATATAAAAATATTTATATAATGATTATTTTATTTACTAAAACATGTATCTAGAATTTACTAACATATTAACTAATTTTGAAGAAAAAATTCAATTTGTAATGTACATCGTAGATTATATTTATGTTTTTTGTATTTATTTGTACACACTTGGTCAAAAAAATATATTAATTTATTTAAAAAAAATTTTAAAAAAAATGATACATTTCTAAAATTATATTATAAGTTTAATGGTATTTATTAATATATATTTTGTCAAAATTAGAAAAAAAATATAATACATAATAATGTAACATGGAACCGTATTACTGTTGTTAAGGGTAGAGAAAATTACAGTCGGTCACTCTATTTAGAAATTGTCATGGCTAAAATAAGTATAAGTTTTGTATAGTCTAGCAACTTTGAAAAAAAAAATTGTTATCTAAGTATAAGTTTAGAAATTGTCATCGCTAAAATAAGTATAAGTTTTGCAGTTGGAGTTGAAAAAAGAAATTGTCATCGTTGAAATAAGTATAAGTTTTGTATAGTCTAGCCAGCAGTTGGAGTTGAAAAAACGGTTAAATAAAACGTGCCATCAACTTCTAATATTAATAAGTTGTCAAATTTTAATGAATTTCTTCATTACAATATCAAGTAAATCCTTGGTCTTATACTTAATAGATTGTCTGTGTTGCTCCTCCTCCTCAACAATTAATATACTTGTTTCAAAACATTGATAAAGATTAAAAGAAAAAAAAAAAAGATATTACACATATCTTCTAACAGATACTATTGTGATGAAACTATACAGATCTTACTAATAAATGCAAATCCAATCCCTAATCCTAACAGCAATAATGCATAAACCTCATAAAAGGAACCAAAGGATCAAACAATAAACACTCTTTGCCAAAACATAACATCAACAAAGTGTAAATATAGATTCTCAACATCAACATAGGTGATTCCAAATTAAATTGACATTAAATACAATTAACCAATACTTCAATCAAGCTAAACCTTTGTTAACCCCTATAAATGAAGCACAACACCGCCTTGTGCTATGCAATCCACACTAACAAATAATATCATCCAAAAAAATAATAACAAGGAAAAAAATGTCGCGTTTATACTCGACTTTGTTGCTCCTCATGCTCGTGATCCTCACCGCATCCTCATCTTCGAGCCGTGCTCTAGAAGACAAACAAGAAGACCTCTCAACCTACGAAAATGTGGAAATTTTCGAAACCGAAGAGAAACTATTGACTGTTCAACCTTACCCCTATAAGGCTCCACCTCCTAAAGGCCATCATCATCTTCACGGTCATGCTAAACTTAAAGCTCATATAGCTCCACACCACCATCACCACCCAGGCCACGGCCATGGCCATGAACGCCATGGTGCTCATGCACCGTGCCATCATCATTATGCTCATGCTCCAAGAGGCTATTGAAAATATCACATTATGTGTGTAATATATTCAAAACTAAATGAATAATTTATATCCCTTTGTGTTATTGCTCAATATATTCATATTTTGGTGTTTGTGTGTGTGAATTGAGATGGTGTACTACTTGAGCGATGCTATAGAATTGAGACAGTACTTCTTGAGAAATGCTATTACAAAAAGTTTAATGTGAGCTTTTTATTGATTTCTTTGGGTCAATGTGTGTAATATTCTTTCATAGATAGTGCTTGTTTATAGGGTATAAAAGAGCGAGTTCTGAATGAGCCAGTAATCGATTTGAGCTCACCTTATTTATTAATATTAACAAGCTGAACTCGAATGATGAACTATAGAAAATTATATATAAAATAAACTCACTTTTCTAGCCTTATCGAGCCGAGCCGAGCACCACTCACGAGTAGCTCGTTTCGTTTAATAGTTCTATTTGTTCATATATAATCACATCCCTTGTAAAGCTAAAATTAGGATTTTATGCAATGTCTATATAAGAAATCATTTATGTACCCTTAAACATCCAACAAAAGCCAAAAACAATGAGGGAAGAAAAACATTATTACTAGTCAAAAGAATGAACAAACACATAAACACACACAAAAATGAACAAAAGCAATACTAATTAGGCGGGAGAACATAGTCCGTAAAATTTTTACGTTTGAGCTACCGTGAGCACGAGCAGCCAAAAATGAAGGCCTCTTTGCAATTGAAGGCACCCCTCAAACAAAATGGCGATCTCACAATCTCCTGCGGCTATTCACGATCTTATGAAATTGAATCCGACCCATATTCGTGTTATAAGATCCAGCGGCATTGCCTTTTGAGCCCGTATTTTATGAAATAAAATGTAATTATCTTGTGTGCTCGAGAAAGAGAGTAACAAAAACGACATGAAAAATTAACTAATAAGAGCGCCATCACACAAACACACATATTGAACTGTTAAACGAGACAAACCGTTTGTAAGCTCGGCTCAAACTTTTTATATATAACCACCAAAGAGAGAGAGAGAGAGAGAGAGAAAAGAATGAAAAGAGAGTAATAAATGATTGAGTCCATGTAGACTGGGTTGTAAAAATCCCAACACATGCAAACATATTAGGGCCTATTATGTGAGTTGGTGTGGTGATAAATTTGTTGGATCTTAGCCCATAGAGAAAGACCAGATTCTGGATTAGTAGTGCATAACATCATGAGTAAAATTGGACAAAAAGTAAGTTTAATTGGAAATTAGATGAAATATTTTGCCCCAAATTAGGCACATTCCAACTAGTGACTTCTAAGCAGTTTTTTTACAAAAAACTGCAGTTTTGCACACATATCCGTATAGTTGTGTGTCAGATCGAAAGATTATTAACAAAAAAAAAAAAAACTTATCTTTAAGGGTAGGATTGATTTTTTCTTTAAGCAGTCTTTAGAATATCCTTTTACATTCTTGATAAAAAATATTCACTTATATAAGAGATACAAAAACTATGGAAATAAAATCAAATTTCGCCTGTGAATCACGCTGATGAACTCCAACGTCTAGACACCAACTACAGAAGTGTGATTATTAGAGCATCTCCAATGCTATGAGTTTGAAAGACCATTATTTTTAACACATGTCAATTATTGATTGTAATGTTAATCTATATTGGAATAATGTTAAAAGACTGGAAATTTGAATGAAACTAGTATATCTCCAATGCATAAATTTGATAAGAAGTTATTAGTATAGGTGGACCAATTAAATAATTCATTGATACAAGAAAAATAAAAAATTAAAACAAACATAAAATAAATTGATGAGTCATCATATTTAACATTGTGTTAGATATTAGAAAGTGTGCTCAACATTGTCAACATTAAATGACATCCACCTCATCATGAAAGAATTCATGACAAGATGCATTGGAGAAAAAAAATAGTAACACACTTTCAAAAGTTGATGATATGGATAACTTTTTATCATGTCAAAAGCCACATTAGAGATGCTTTCAGTGCTTAAGCGTTGAAGCCCAATAAAAAGAATGAGCTTTTAAAATTATTAGTACAGAATGAATGAAGGAATTGCTTAGCCCAAAATTAAATCAACAATTTTACGAAATAATCTCCCTCTACATTGCCCCTCCTCCTTAACAATTACTTGACTTGTTTCCAAACATTGACAAAGATTA